GATGCTAGGTGATGATGCTGGGTGATGATGCTGGGTGATGATGCTGGGTGATGATGCTGGGTGGTGATGGTGCTGTGTGATGATGCTAGGTGATGATGCTGGATGACACTGGGTCATGATGCTGTGTGATGATGCTGGGTGATGATGCTGTGTGATGATGCTGGGTGATGATGCTGTGTGATGATGCTGGGTGATGATGCTGGGTGATGATGCTGGGTGATGATGCTGGGTGGTGATGATGCTGGGTCATGATGCTGGGTGATGATGCTGGGTGGTGATGATGCTGTGTGATGCTGGGTGATGATGCTGGGTGATGATGCTGGGTGATGATGCTGGGTGGTGATGCTAGGTGATGATGCTGGGTGATGATGCTGGGTGATGATGCTGGGTGGTGATGATGCTGGGTGATGATGCTGGGTGATGATGCTGGGTGGTGATGCTGGGTGGTGATGATGCTGGGTGATGATGTTGGGTGATGATTCTGGGTGGTGATGCTGGGTGGTGATGATGCTGGGTGATGATGCTGGGTGGTGATGCTGGGTGGTGATGATGCTGGGTGATAATGCTGGGTGGTGATGCTGGGTGGTGATGATGCTGGGTGATGATGCTGGGTGGTGATGCTGGGTGATGATGCTGGGTGATGTTGCTAGGTGATGATGTTGCTGGGTGATGATGCTGGGTGGTGATGCTGGGTGATGATGCTGGGTGATGATGATGCTGGGTGATGATGATGCTGGATGATGATGCTGGGTGATGATGCTGGGTGATGATGCTGGGTGATGATGCTGGGTGATGATGATGGGTGATGTTACTGGGTGATGATGATGGGTGATGTTGCTGGGTGATGATGATGGGTGATGTTACTGGGTGATGATGATGGGTGATGTTGCTGGGTGATGATGCTGGGTGATGATGCTGGGTGATGATGCTGGGTGATGATGATGCTGGATGATGATGATGGGTGGTGATGATGCTGGGTGATGATGCTGGGTGATGATGCTGGGTGATGATGCTGTGTGATGTTGCTGGGTGATGATGCTGGGTGATGATGATGGGTGATGATGCTGTGTGATGTTGCTGGGTGATGATGCTGGGTGATGATGCTGGGTGATGATGCTGGGTGGTGATGATGTTGTGTGATGCTGGGTGATGATGCTGGGTGGTGATGATGCTGTGTGATACTGGGTGATGATGCTGTGTGATGATGCTGGGTGATGATGCTGGGTGGTGATGATGCTGGATGATGATGCTGGGTGGTGATGCTGGGTGGTGATGATGCTGTGTGATGATGCTGGGTGGTGATGGTGTGTGATGATGCTGGGTGATGATGCTGGGTGATGATGCTGGGTGGTGATGATGCTGGGTCATGATGCTGGGTGATGATGCTGGGTGGTGATGATGCTGTGTGATGCTGGGTGATGATGCTGGGTGATGATGCTGGATGATGATGCTGGGTGGTGATACTAGGTGATGATGCTGGGTGATGATGCTGGGTGGTGATGATGCTGGGTGATGATGCTGGGTGATGATGCTGGGTGATGATGCTGGGTGGTGATGATGCTGGGTGATGATGTTGGGTGATGATTCTGGGTGGTGATGCTGGGTGGTGATGATGCTGGGTGATGATGCTGGGTGGTGATGCTGGGTGGTGATGATGCTGGGTGGTGATGCTGGGTGATGATGCTGGGTGGTGATGCTGGGTGATGATGCTGGGTGATGTTGCTGGGTGATGATGCTATGTGATGATGCTGGGTGGTGATGCTGGGTGATGATGCTGGGTGATGTTGCTGGGTGATGATGCTGGGTGGTGATGATGGGTGATGATGCTGGGTGATGATGCTGGGTGATGATGCTGGGTGATGATGATGGGTGATGATGCTGGGTGATGATGCTGGGTGGTGATGCTGGGTGATGATGATGGGTGGTGATGATGCTGGGTGATGATGCTGGGTGATGATGCTGTGTGATGTTGCTGGGTGATGATGCTGGGTGATGATGCTGGGTGATGATGCTGGGTGGTGATGATGTTGTGTGATGCTGGGTGATGATGCTGGGTGGTGATGATGCTGTGTGATACTGGGTGATGATGCTGTGTGATGATGCTGGGTGATGGCGTGATGTTGCTGTGTGATGATGCTGGATGACACTGGGTCATGATGCTTGGTGGTGATGATGTTGTGTGATGCTGGGTGATGATGATGATGCTAGGTGATGACGATGATGCTGGGTGATGATGCTACTGTAGGTGATGATGCTGGGTGATGGTGTGATGATGATGGGTGATGATGCTGTATGATGATGCTGGGTCATGATGCTGAGTGATGATGCTGGGTGGTGATGATGTTGTGTGATGCTGGGTGATGGTGTGATGTTGCTGTGTGATTATGCTGTGTGATGCTGGGTGATGATGCTGAGTTATGATGCTGCATTAGAGTAAAAGCACGTTGACGCCTAGGCCCCGTGCACCTCCAAGCATAGTGGGAGGTGCAGAGGGTCCTATGGGGCGCACTATTCACACTATTCACTATTTACCGGATAATATAAATAAATGAATGCGCATGAATGCAGGGGACTCTGTAAGAAGCTTGACATTCACGACTACTCGCCACCCCCCACCGCCCACCGGGTTAAGTTATTAAATTCGCCTCTATCGTGATTCCGAATTTGAAACATCGAGTGGGAGGGGGGGCGTGGAAACTAATCATGACATAATCTTTGTAGCCCCCACCCCCTCTCCAACGAGATTTGCTGCTCCTCATGGGGGTGCATTGGCCAGCTGACACGCAGATGGGACATTAAGCAAAATGTAACGTGACGGTAACGCACTGCCGCAGAGACCTCTGGTTTCTTTGTTGTGGCCCAGAGAGCGCGGTTTCAATCGCTCGCCCAGTGCGTCTGGCCCCAGGAAGCCAACGGGCAACGTGCGGCGACCCCGCGCGGAGCCATCGCCAGGCATCCGTGACCTCGCAGCGCGACGGACAGCACGCCGAGCGCGCGGCGGGCTCACGACCACGTTGCTCGACTCGTAGGGGTGACGATTCACGGCGTTCTGTCCGCCGCTCGCGGGATAATGACCCCCCCCCCCTCCTTATCCCACGCGGCGTCGTTCGTTTCGAGTGTACTTCAACGCGCCGGTCAGTGCGGTTCATGAAAATTAAAGGCGACCCACAGCAATGTGATTGTGGCCATGCAAACTCAAACTGCGGGCCATGTAGTACAGCACCGTCGTCTCCCGCTCCTTCGGCAGCAAAAGGAATAGCAAAGCTTCGCGAACTCTCTTCCTGAAAATCCTCTCGCGGCGAGCAGCAGAGTCCGACAGCTGTCGCATAGCTCCTGAACACATTTGCTGCCACGCGCAACAGCAGAAGAATAGCGCAGTGCGGGTCAGCGACGTGGATGAACCAGAAGTGATTCGGACGTCACTTAACAAATGGCGTTAGCCGTGGCCGAAAATTGAACTCGGGTTTGTAGCGCAGCGTGGTGGAACCACTGTGCCACCGTCAGCTTGGGACATCGCACAAAACAAATGACGAATATCCGTTATCCAGACAAACCTCACTCAGGCTTTTAACAGTATTATTTTTGCACAAGGGTTCTGCATTATGATTGGCCATATTTAGTTATTATTATTGGTTCTTTCGGTAAAGTCACGTTGAAGGGAAACAATTAAATCATATTGTTTTATTTTTTATTATTTTATTGTTTCCCTTCAACGTGACTTTACCGAAAGAACCAAGAATATGAATCACTGCAGTCACGAAAGCTTTAAATCAAAATTTAGTTATTATTGTTGTTGTTTTTGTTAACGAGTTCATTGCCTGTTAGAGGACAGCGGAGGAGCCAGAGATTACCCAAGCGAGTACCCTCGCTAATTGCACAAACCGAGATTGGCCAGCAACCTTTTTTTGTTACTTGACCAGGTAAGGGCCCACTGGACTGCATCGCTCTTCTTTCAGAAGCGACCTCGCAATCACAAGGGACAGCACGATGAAGTGGCTCATCATCGCGTAGGCATTTATCGCAGCAGCCAAATACTCTGAACGCGTGACGTTGAATTATGAATGTGGAGGGTAAAAACCGGAGGACCAGGAGAAAAATCAAACGCGACCACGGAGAGACATTTAACTCAAAATATACAAGAGATTGGGTTGGCATCGAACCCACAAACCTCCTGTATACCAGGCGAGATAGTTAACACCTCACCAACGCGGCGCCCCTACTTTCCGTGCTGTCGTTCACCGCGCATTCGGAGTATCGCAGCGCACGACTTTCCCCGCGTGTTTGTTTCCAAAAAAACCCCCAAAAAATGTTGATTGGCTCTCCCAAGAACTCGCTCGGATTACACCGCGAATTTATTTGTCGCGTTGTCCATTGCGACAGCGACAAGAGGCAGTGGTGCAAGACGGCGTCTCTCCGGGTAGAGGATTTAGAGGGTGATGATCTACAACTAAGCCAACGATGGATAATTGACAGCAAAAAAAAACCGTGTCGACCCGAAACCACCAGAGATGGGATGGGGGGTGGGGGGCAATCCATTTTACTTACCAAGGGCTCTGTCGTAAGAAAAAAAGGCACAGGTAAGGAAACTATTGACGTGTAAAAAGACGCATCAAAGCTTTCCAATCCATAATTACCAACACCAACGAGTGAATAAAACAGAAGTGCTCCAAGCTTAATCTCGTGGAGAGCCGTGAGAAATGTATTTATTTATCCATGAAAACTACTGGACCTGCTGCGTTCCTTCGACCGCTGCATAGCGAACCCGGACGGGTTTACGTGCCGGTCAATTAGGGCCAGCCGGAATTTCAATGGCACCTTGACCAGGCACGCACGATCTCCCCCAACCAACCGGTCCTTCGTTCGTTTTGCGTGGCCACAGTCGCGTCACTGTGACCTCGCGTCTTCGATGTTCCACCCATGAAGGAGATGCGCGCATCGGCCGTGTTGTTGACAACAACCACAAACACTGACTAAAAACAACGCGATGACCCAACTCTCACCGTGGACCTGCGTCGAGGTGCCCTTGTAACGCACCCCGGCCATGGCCGTGAGCGTCCCCATGCTCGCCGTGCCGAAGAAGAATCCCGCGAAGGCGTAGTAGGTGCACACGGGCTGCCCTCCCAGCCAGCGGTGGTTCCACGCCGAGGCCACCGCTAGGGGGTAGATGGAGGCGGCGATGCCCAGGTCGGTGAGCGCCAGGTTCACGGACAGCAGCTCGGGAGCCTTGAGCTTGGCCCAGCGGCGCGCCGCCACTCCCAGCACGGCGCCGTTGCCCGCGAGGGACAGTACCGCTACGGGGAGGGCGGGAGGGGGGGGTGCGCCACCACGATGGAACTAATTGGTTCATTCACTCATTCGTTCATTCACTCATTCGTTCATTCACTCGTTCGTTCATTCACTTATTCATTAATTCACTCATTTGTTCATTCATTGATTCATTCATTCCTTCATTCACTCATTCATTAATTCATTCATTCGTTCATTCACTAATTCATTAATTCACTCATTCGTTCATTCACTCATTCATCAATTCATTCATTCGTTCATTCACTCATTCATTAATTCATTCATTCGTTCATTCACTCATTCGTTCATTCACTCGTTCGTTCATTCACTCGTTCGTTCATTCACTCATTCGTTCATTCACTCATTCAATAATTCATTCGTTCATTCACTCATTCATTAATTCATTCGTGCATTCACTCATTCATTAATTCACTCATTCGTTCATTCACTCGTTCATTAATTCACTCATTCGTTCATTCACTCGTTCGTTCGTTCGTCACGCGTAGTCAGCGGTGGAACGTTGCGCCGAACGCGTGACCTCTTGCGACAGCGTTCGTGTAAACTGCCCTTGGCTGCCGTACACCGGCGTCCCGAGCGATGTGTTCAATCCGCGGATCACGGAGGAGGGGGTGGAATGGGGGGGGGGGGGGGTTGACCATGGGGGGCGGCGCCATTCCTTTGAGGGTCGCAGTCCATCTCGAACGTCGACCGCCGACTGAAGTTGCGCAATTTGCTGCAGGAGTTTGCGCATCAGGACGGAGGGCGCGAATCGCGTTCACAAAGTGACACCGCAGCCGTCTCCCTCCAACTGACCTCTCGATCGCGAGGAGACCGGTCGCGGATGCTGACGGTGACATTTCTGACGAAGTCTAACCGTAGGATGCCATGAAGGCGCATTTGGCGTCTCCGCAGGCGGAAACGCGAGAGGTCGTACATCGACATCGTCCCGCACTGCGAACTCTGCGTTGTGGCCAAGGCCCGGCTAACCGGCGCGTCTCGGGTGCACGATCCGGCAGTGGAGCTGCGACGTGACAACGGCTCACCGCGAAGGAGAGTGGACTCATCCTTTGGTTCTTTCGGTAAAGTCCGTGTAGAAAGAAAATCAATCAGATAATGGAATGCGACGTTTCGATTGCAACGCAAGCAGTCGTCATCAGGTAGAACTCAATTTGAGAGAGAGAGAGACAAAACACAGACACGGAGACACTCAGACAGACACCGAAAGAACCAAAGAGTAATTCCTGCAGTCACGAAAGCTTCAAATCGAGAGTGGACTTGCCTGGTGGCAACGTGACGTTTCAGGGTGCTGAGCTGGTGGTCCTATTTGTAGGAGCAGGTGCCACTACCTCGCCTGGTGTAGGGGAGGGTGTGGGTTCGAGCCCGACCCTGACGCCTGTAGGCTTGTAGTTTGTGTGTCTCTCTCCCCGTGGTCTCGTGGATTTTCTTCTGGGTCCTCCGTCTATTTTGCACTCCACATTTTGACACGTGCGTTTAGAGTATTTTGGATGCTGTAAATGTCCACGTGACGATAAGCCACTTCGTTGAGCTATCGTTTGTGGCCAGGTCGCTTCGGAAAATTCAGCTACATAGCTCAGTGAGGCTTATCTGGTAAAATTTTAAAAAATGTTTATGGTAGGGCCGGTGCTATGAAAGGTGCAGGGCTGGTGCCCTATGTTGTAAAGCCAGTGCTAGGTGAGTGCCGTGCTAGGCTGGTCCCCTATGTTGTTGAACCAGTGCTAGGTGGGTGCCGTGCTAGGCTGGTGCCCTATGTTGTAGAGCCAGTGCTAGGTGGGTGCCGTGCTAGGCTGGTCCCCTATGTTGTTGAACCAGTGCTAAGTGAGTGCCGTGCTAGGCTGGTGCCCTATGTTGTAGAACCAGTGCCAGGTGGGTGCCGTGCTAGGCTGGTGCCCTGCACCACCACTGTAGACCAAACTCAGCCATTCTTCTTAGTCGGCCTAAGGTCTACCAACACTGTGCAGTAGTTTAATGGAATAAAGGCCAACACCAGTACCAGATCTCGCTACAAATCAATCAATCCCTGCCACCCGAAACACAGATGCCAATTTACCGACTATCGGAGACAGAAGTGGCAACCCTGGTTCGGCGCGATGTCCGACGTTTCTCCACGTTTGCCAGGGGGATTATTTTAAAAACTGAACACGAAAACATTCGCCCCGATTTTGGAGGAATAGAAGTTCAGTTTAACAAAATAAACACGTCAGATAATAGCACCCCCTTCACCACATATCTGTTCATTCATGTAAAACAAACATTTGAACACATCACATCAGCCATGCAGCATTATGCGAATGAACAGTTGGTCACATTTCATACATTTTTAAAGAATCATGCACCTCCGATTAGCGCGGTTTGGCTATCTACGGTGCGAAAGAAGTTCAACTCTCCCCTCGGGGTGACTCAAATTGCCTGCTCTAAGTTTCTCCTTCATTGTAGAGATTCCCCAAGGTCTCCCGTCTGCATCATCATGGGTTCAAGCATCCTCGCGTGCACAAGACAAAGATCCCCCGTATAGCCTTAAGATACTGTTGGGGACAAGTGCTGTTAGCAAGTAGCACCTATGAAGGCCGGCACGGCACACGATGGGGTGGGTGGCCAGCACCACGCCCGACCGTCTTTGTCTCCACAGTGGCGATGTTACACACCTCGCCAGATAATAATTTTTGGGGCTGAGTCGACCTAGCGGAGGCCCAGGACCGGTTCGGATATTCGTCACCGGTGTTGGCCGTGAGCGGGAATCGAACTCGGTTTGCCGGGTTCACTCACACTCCGCCGTGGTGCCTTGCCCGATGTATCTTGGGGCCAGTATTTTTTTTATCGGTTCACTTTCCATTGCCAGGATTCGAACCTGCCGACCTTTCGGCTCTGGAGTCACCTCCTCGGCCCTCTGAGCGCTGTGAATCACGACCCACGGGGGGTGGTGGTGGGGGGCGCTTCTCCTGGTTGTTGCTCAGTGTTTATTCACTCATTTTCAGAGGGAGGGAGGGAGGGACACTTTCGTCGGTGAGACATCATCAGTTCGAGGGCCCACCACAGATTTGAAACCATTGGGGTGTTTGACAGCAGCACGATGATGATGGGGGGTGTTGTCACGTGTTGTGCATTGTCACGTGTTGTGCATTGTCACGTGTTGTGCATTGTCACGTGTTGTGCATTGTCACGTGTTGTGCATTGTCACGTGTTGTGCATTGTCACGTGTTGTGCATTGTCACGTGTTGTGCATTGTCACGTGTTGTGCATTGTCACGTGTTGTGCATTGTCACGTGTTGTGCATTGTCACGTGTTGTGCATTGTCACGTGTTGTGCATTGTCACGTGTTGTGCATTGTCACGTGTTGTGCATTGTCACGTGTTGTGCATTGTCATTGTCACGTGTTGTGCATTGTCATTGTCACGTGTTGTGCATTGTCACGTGTTGTGCATTGTCATTGTCACGTATTGTGCATTGTCACGTGTTGTGGATTGTCATTGTCACGTGTTGTGCATTGTCACGTGTTGTGCATTGTCACGTGTTGTGCATTGTCACGTGTTGTGCATTGTCACGTGTTGTGCATTGTGCATTGTCACGTATTGTGCATTGTCACGTGTTGTGCATTGTCACGTGTTGTGCATTGTCATTGTCACGTGTTGTGCATTGTCACGTGTTGTGCATTGTCACGTGTTGTGCATTGTCACGTGTTGTGCATTGTCATTGTCACGTGTTGTGCATTGTCACGTATTGTGCATTGTCACGTGTTGTGCATTGTCACGTGTTGTGCATTGTCAGGGGGCCGCACTCGAGGCCAGCAGGGGCCGACAGTGGCCACGCGGCCTTGCGATGAAGAGCACCGATATTCATAAATAAATTATTCAGTGATGCTGCTGCTGCTGCTGCATTAGAAGCGGTGCACAAGCACAAATAACAACAGAAACCCACCTTATCACATTCGCCAATAACACTGTGGTCTCAAAAGGGGGCAAAATAAGCCGCGGTGTTATTGATGAATCTGTTGAGGTTTTTTTGTTATCGTCTCCAGTAATTTAGCGACGATTACAAGATTGACATTGGTGATTGTCTAAAGTGTGGCGATGTTCAAACCATGAAATATAAGAATATACAATCACACGTGGCAGAAAAAAAAAGTAAATAAATATACATAACGTGCATCAAGGGGCAGGAATAACAAATAAGACAGACATAAGCCGATACAGAAAGCAGAAAACAAAGGAAGGTGAATGCGCCTCGATGCGGGCTTTAAACGATAAGACATTTCACTCTGAACACGTCATCTCAGAACAAAATCTTTTTTATCACCGATGCGTGCGATTTTTCCTACGTTCAAACAAAAATCAACTCTTAGTTATTCTGAACTGCTGGACATCTGTGAAACAAGAGCTTCGCTAGCTGATCGGATTCCTCCTCCAGTATAAATAAATATTCTGATTCTGAATGACATCGGTCTGATGAAACTGTACCGCAATTACGAGACGTCGCACACCCAACGAGCGGTGTGTATCTTCGCCATATATAAGATCCCACGTTATTGGGATTTTTTTCTTGACAAAAAAATAATCGAAAATAGTATTTATCCCCAGAAAGAAGCGCTTGTCCCTGCAATCAGTAATTTGACTCAATCGCAATCTCGCCAATTGTACTTTACAAAAGCACACAAATTGAGTTCATCGCCAAACCACCAAAGCGCAAAGTTGCTGCATGATGTCCCAATCCCACAGACAACGTGTGTGTGTGTACGTGTGCGTGTGTATGTAGCGGTGGGGAGCGGTAGTGTAGCGGTTAGCGCGCTGCGCTATAAACCCGGCGACACGGGTTCGATTCCCGCTCACGGCCAACACCGGTGACGATTATCTGAACCGGTCCCGGGCCTCCCCTAGGTCGACTCAACCTCACATGAGTACCTGGTGCGGTGTGTAAACATCGCCACTCGGGAGACAAAGGCGGTCGGGCGTGGTGCTGGCCCACCCACCCCCTCGTGCGCCGTGCCGGCCTTCATAGGTGCTGCTCGCTAACAGCACTTGCTCCCAACAGTCTGTTAAGGCTATACCGGGGGTGGCTCTTTTTCTGCGTGAGGATTGTGCGTGCGAACATTGCGTGAGGACGAGGGACTTACTTACGGCCAGGAGGAACGTCCCTGCCGCGATGTCAGCCGTCGGAGAGAGCTTGGATCTAAACTGATCGTCCTCCCCCTGCTCTGCCATGTCCCAAGGACGCGTTGCAAACCCCAAAAGCAAAAAAAAATTGCGAGCGCGCGTGTTTTTTTTTATTCACCCAAGAAATGTATATTTAATACTGCCTGTAAATATATTAGCACAGTTATCTACGTACCGTGCGAAAGAAATTCAACATACGTACGTATATATAGACATAACCTCCTGTAATTCCCTATCAACCTGATAACCCGTCCACGTGACGTTGTTGTGCAAATACAAGCACGTGGATGCGAAGGTCCCTCGTGATGGAAGCAGGTGCGTTACGTTGTGCTGTGTGTGTGGCTGCCCGGAAGCTCAACTGATACTCCGCTCCGCTTCTGATCTCGAACGGAGAGTGGTGGGCGGGCAGAGAGAGAGAGGTGGGGGGGGGGCAGCTCCGCTATTGCCCCCCCTCCTCCTCCTCCTCCTGTCATTCCTCCATGCGCACACCTCTCCCGTCCGTGCCTCTGAGCGCTCTACGGAGCAGAGGAAGACTACGTGACGACGCTCAGCACCCCCACGGCACTTAGCGGGGTGACTGTTGTCGTTTCACTTTCGTGCGGTGAGCGGTGACGCGGCGCTCCGAACCCGGCCAGCCGAGTTCGACTCCCGCTCTCCTAGGTCGACTCAGCCTCAAATGAGTACCTGGTGCGGTGAGCAAGCACCGCCACTGGGGAGACAAAGGCGGCCGGGCGTGGTGCTGGCCACCCACTCCCTCGTGTGCCGTGTCGGTCTTCATAGGTGCTACTCGCTGACACCACTTGCCTCAAAAGTCTATTCGGGCTATCGGGGGGATCTTTGTCTTATTTTGCACTGGTGCGCTAATTGCAGCATCGGCAGCAGGAGTTAAACATTCTGTTAAACATTCTCCTTAACACGTAGGCTGTCGCGACCAATATCATCCATAATATAGGTTATCTAAGGAACGAAACAGGAGGATTTCTCCACAAATCTGTCTGTCCGCCTGATGATGCAAGTTGTAATCACTGGCGAAACGTCGTACTCAGATTGTAAATGTTGTGGATTTGCTCTCCAAACACGCCGCTGTGCTGTACTAGTAACGAATTGGCACGATCTGTTTACGTGACAAACCTTACCAATTAGCTGTTGGGTGGTGGAGGGTTTAACGACACATTTATATATTTGCGCGATCTAACTAGAAAAAAACCTCTATTATGGATACACATTGTGTTGGTCTAATGCCTTAGCAGGCTCGGGAGGCGGTGGCATGACAACAATCACGCACCTCCGATTTAGCACGATTGACTACGTACGGTGCGATAGAAGTTCAACATATATACATGGGATAATTATTAATAATTTATTTAACACGTACAATTCATGGTGCTCCTGATGTTGAGTGCAAATCTACGGCTGTCAAGCCAAGTTTATTTCGCGTAACCAAAGTGAGAACGCGAGACACCACCACCTGTTTCATTGTCAGAAAGGGTAACACCTATTCTTATTTTTCTTCCGTTTGATACTGGCAAAAAAAAGATCGCACGAAGAAAGATTGTTGATTACAAGTTAAAGCCCCTTTTACCAGTCCAGCACAGGACGACGCCCTCCCCATAGCGTGCCGGAATGTGGTGGTTATTTGGCCATACTTCACCACGCTGGTCAGAGCCGGTTTGTTTTGAAGGTTTATATTGTAACGTTCCTTAAATACCTCGTGTTCGATGTGCAATATCCCTTAAGGACCCTGCACTCGCTCTTTTACAATACCGATGGGGTTTGATTTTATTGCGATTGCTGTTGGTGTTTGTGTGCTCACGCACCACGGATCTCCCTTGCAAAACAGCCGGGCAATTGGCTAAACGGGACCATACGTCGTTGTCGCCTTCCTCTTCTGCTTCTTTCGTACGGTTCATGTGGATGCCGAGCAACAGCTACAATGTCTCATTCAGGTGGTCAAGGAGGACAACCGCGTCAGGAGCCGCGGAGTGGTGCATCGATGCGATGTCTCCTCCTCCTCCTCCGTGTTTGTGGATCGGGGCACTGCGCTGTCAGACGTGTGGATGTGGACCATCTGCGTAACAAATTAAATTAACTTACCTGCCCAGCAGACTTCGCGCTCCAAACGGCATTTTGGACATCAACTCCCCCCCCCCCCTCCAGAGATTACATGAAACGTTATTTCGTCTGTTAATGCTGAATTTTATTTGTTGTTAGTCTTGTAACAATACAGTTTATTTTTCTTGAACTTTGTTTTCCTTTTGAAAATATTACTGGGGGCCTCAGTACCTGTAGCCCAGGGGGCCTACGGCTTAATCCGGCCCCGATTCGATGGTATTCATCATCGGTCACAATCCCATGGGCACGTGTATTGCCACTGCCGCTCCAGTGAACTCTGAAGTATCACCTCTTTAAATTAGAACACCACGCAACCGTTCAGAGCTCCTGCGACCAGATTGGCTTGCATCTGCCCCCCCCCCCCCCCGGGGAGTCTACGAGTGAAATGTGATAGACAGGGGTGGAGAATGTCCGGCCCGCGAGCCGTGTAAGGCCCGCAGAATCATTTGGGTCTGGCCCTGCCAAGGCAACCGCAGGCTTGGACTCGAAATTCAATAAATCTAGGTAGAGCAAACCTGGAAAAGCAGTTGCGAGTAGCAACATCATCAATACCAGCTAACATCATCACCACGCCTCGCCATCGTCAATACCAGCTAACATCATCACCATGCCTCGCCAAAGAGAAGCAGTTCCAGCCATCGCATTAGGGGTGAGTTCATTAAATGTTTGACCAAATATAACAGAACTACATGTTTAAGTTGATAATTTTGTATGGCCCGCGAATGATGTTGTAAATATCCAAATGGCCCTTGCCAGAAAAAAGGTGCCCCACCCCTGGGATGAAGTGGTCTCAGTCCAGGAATTGTCTGCGTACTCAACCCATGGCAATGGGTTTTGCTCTCGCAATCCGCACGTCCTTTGGACGTGACCATTCCGTCCTTCCCTGCAGACATCAGGTCCTGCCAGCCATAAAAACTTGTTTCTCCAATGTAGTACTTGTACACGATTCGGCCCCAACTCGGCGAGATTAAAATTAATTTTGGGGAATACTTCCTCGCAGACCACGTTAGGAGCGCCCTCTATTGTTGACACAAGTTTGACGATACTGCAGCTGGGTTGGCAGGGTGCACAAGCAAAAAAAAATACTCAGTGCTTTTAAGGGCCCCATTTTCTGACGTCACTTCTAAACCAGTATTATTTTAAAGTGGTTCTTTGCCTTTACTGTATCCATACACCCCTTTGGTTCATTTGTAAAACGTATGTTAATGTTTGATGAAACAAAGTAGTTGTAAGAATAGGTTTTACCCTTTCTGTCAATAAAACAGGTGTTGAGACGCTAACACAAACAGAAACCATGTCTGCTTAACCACATATATACCTTGTTTGCATGTTCACCACAAAGGAGGTCCCATAAAGTAGTTCTTCTCTGCTCGTGCGTCGTGTTGAGGATTTACCTTCAAAAAAAAAATCTGCCCACGTCTCACACCCCCAGAAAAGTGCATATCACACCCCCAGGGGGTGCGTGTACCCCAGGTTAAGAACCACCAATGTCGGCAGCACCGTTATTGGCGAAGAACGTCGAGTCGTTCCTGTTCAACAAGATTCCAGGTCAAGTTGATCCTGGCAGTGGTGATGTCATGCAGGATCATCGTCCAAACACGTAATGCTTCGTTGAGAAAGTTCCAGAATGATGAAGATGGCAGAGTCGTTCGCCACCTCCCACACCTAACAAAAGGGTTGTATTCCTCAACTTTATTTCATCCTGGTACAACCCATTGGAGTCGGTTAGTTCCGTTATAAAGGACGACCACAGCATAAGACCGTCAGTGGCAGAAGGTACAGGGCATCGCAGTGAAGAAATGTGCAAAACGATCGTGTCCCATGTACGTCACATGACAAGTCGTATATTTAGATTGACCACCAGGCGTATATTTAGGCAGATTTATTAATTCCCAAACTAGTCAGAGCACAACAATGAGAACAGTAAAACACGTAAGAATGCAGGCTTAGCACTAAAGGCTTAATTACGCTACTCACTCGGCAGGTTATGACGCAGCATATAGCCAGATAGACTTGGAACGCTTCAAAATGATGCTTGCAGGGACACCAATTGAGTAAAAAACATTTAAATGAAAAGTAAAACAAAAGTACAAATTCACCCACAACATGATTAGGGGGAATGATCCAGGCGATTTGACTTTAAAGTGTTTTCTGCCGCCGCATTACAGTGCAAGTCATCGCGATGCAACGTCCCTCGTACTTTTCACGAGGCAATCACTTGCGTAAAAACACACGCAGAACATCGCAGGCAAAAATCGGGAATTGACCGTGGCAAAACTGGGATATTTTTTACGGTGGCTTTAGAAAATCTTATACTTCTTGTTTGTTTTCTAATGCATCTTATCTTTAAACCTATCAAGCTGTACATACATAGCCAAGGTACATCCTAAGTAACAAGACAGCATTTCTTGAAGCAGCGGGCGAGATTGCTGCATTCGCGGTAGTTAAACATCCCCAGGCAATAGGCAGCTTTAGCCTACGCAGAATTAGGAGAGGCAATTGTAAAGACGGCAACATTACTGCCACAACTTAAAGGACAAACCGCAAGCGACTGGAAAATTTCAGTTACAAAAATCAGGTAGCTTTGTCCTAGTCATGCAAACTCTGGGATTGTCTCAGAACGTTGTGGGCCCAAACCATGTTCTGCTTGGGCGAGCATTGAAAAGGTTCTACCGACTGCATTACAGCCTTCACAAACCGTTGAGGCCACACACAAGTTCCTCTGCCATACAAAGTCAATTTGGGTGCAACAGTCTTCGTTTTTTTTTTAAGTGCCAAACTGTCATGTGTGCAAAAACCAAAAAAATAAACTACATTTATCCTTGGTTCACAACCAGTGAAAGTCCCTTTCAAACCATAACTCTGTTCCCGAGACAGCACTAATTGTTGGTACATTTATTTACGACTGCCGGAGCTAACCACATGACCGGGGCAATCATGAACGCGATATAAATCAGGAACTGCAACGATGCTCGGCAAAATTACCGCGAAACATTTTAAATCGGAGCAATTCAAAAACGTGACGAGCACAATCCTCACCGATGTGTTTTTCGGGGCTCTACCCGTGCGTCGTTTTCTCACGTCGTCCACATGCCTTGCTCCACGCATTAACACGGGCAATGCGCCGGACAAAGTGTGAAATAAAAATAGCCCAAAACCAAAAAAAAAAAAACACATGGCGAGAGATACACAGCACGACTGCAATAACAAAGACCTCGAAAACCTGCAATCTTAAGCGAACCGTTTGAAGTGCGAAAAAACCGCCGCCTGAACGGCAAACAAACAAATCTGTACGCAAATCTCGAAAAGCTAGCGTGGCAACAGAGGGCTTTGCTAGCAGTGCATCCTCCATCATCCGGCATGGCGAAGAGGATTAAGCAAAACTGGGCCATCCCCCGCCCCCCCCCCCCCCCTCGCCCCCTCCCAGGCAGCGCCAGCGTTGCGGCTGCACGCGCCACTGGGTGGGGCGGGGGGGGGGGGGGGGGCCCACAAAAGCCTCCCCGGAGAGCCGGGCCAGAGCGAGGGCGACCGCTGCGGCCCTCACGCGGACTTCTTGTCGCCCGCCTCCTCGACCACCGAGAAGGCGACGCCGCACTCGCAGAGACGCTCCACCAGGCTGGTGCGGCCAAACGCCGCGGCCGGGGTGTAGACGCCGCCCCTGCAAAACCACACGTTCACCCGCACTTACGTTGGACGTTCGGTCCTTACTCGTTGCCATGCTGGTGCTGTTAGCGAGCACCTATGAAGGCCAGCACAGCACACAAGGGCATATGGGTGACCAGCACCAAGCCCGGCCGCGCCTTCATCTCCAAAGCGGCAATGTTGACACAAAATCGCACCAGGTATTCAACGGAGGACAAGTCGAGCTAGGGAAGGGCACGGGTTAAGACACTCGTTACTGCTCTTGGCCGCAAGTGGGGTTAAATTTTGGTTTGCTGGGTTCAGTGGCATGTGTATAAACACTAAAGACAAACCCCCTCCCCCTGCATAGCCTTAGACTGTTGGAGAAAGTGCTGTTCGGGAGCACCTATGAAGCCCGGCACAGAAGGCTATGGGTGGCCAGCACCACACCCGGCCGTTTAAATCTCCAAAGTAGCAATGCTTACACATCTCACCAGGTATTCGAGTCGACCTAGGGAGGCCCAGGACCAGTTTAGATAATCATTACTGGGTATTTGACGCGAGCAGGAATCCAACTCCAGTTCATAGCAGTGTGCCAACCCGCTATGCTACCATACACACACACACACACGACTCTGTACAACGTGTGGCACCTTTTGGGCAGGGCCTTGTGCTCCTTGAGGATGGTGACCCCAGCCTGGACCAAGAGCATCGAGGTGGACACGTAGCCTGGCTCTGCAATAATGAGGAGAGAGAACCGTATACGCACCACACGAAAACAAATCTCGCCAGGTCACACCGACTATAAGCACGGCTCGCTCATTAAAGCACCACGTTGACCTGCTTTGCAGGCAGCATGGTACGTCTCTCGTCCAAGAGCAGCAGCCATTCTAGGAGACACGACCCCCTACGCAAACATCTGCAATTCTTACAAAGTCAGTAAGTAGAGCGGACGTTTCATTTGCATCGAACATCTTTTGCACCGTACGCATTCAACGTCAAAATAAATAAAAATCCCACAAACTATCAAATTGTCAATCATGATAGTGGCTGCAAAAACGCGTTAAGGCAATACAATTGCCATGTGGTTTGCATGGCTACCCAAATAAAACACTTTACATGCAAGGCTGTGGCTGTTGTAGACTTATTAAAAACTTCCAGAACATGCTGGGGCTTTAAGGCTGCAAAGGTGATGGCAGAACAACCAGGAAAGTGTGTGTCTGCATCTGTGCAAACTTTTCATTAAAAGTAGACAACTTAAACATTTGCAAACTTTAAAAGTTCATTTAAAGTCGGGGAGTTGGAACAGAGCACCAGTTTGCGAGACGGTGCCTGGACACCCCCGCCATGGCCGAAATATCCACCCTGGGCTCCGTGCTAGCAACGACAAGGGCTCCTCCATTGCTCACGAGCACGAGAAGATAATTTGACGTCCACTACGTAGCAATGCGTGCCCCCTGTTGGACAACTCACCCGGGCCACTGACTCGCGTGGTCATGCGGACATCAGGCTTCTCGCTTTGAGGGTCGCGTCCTTGGCTGTAGCCTTGTGCAAACAAGGTCATGTTGAAAGAAGTCCCCTTCATCTGTGAAAGCGACCAGCCACACAACAAACTCGGGTGCAGTCGTGGGATACTTTATTCATCTTAAAAGCGGCATCGGCAACCATCTATCATCAACTACGAAAATGTTGCGAGACATTTACTTTTCATTGATGTGCTGAAGCACATTTATTTTTTCCACAACTCGGCTTTCATTATTTGTCTGCTGTAAATGTCCACATAAGCCAAAAGTTGAGCTCTCATTTGTGGGCAGGTTTCATTTGACAAAGCTAACAGCTGTGAGCTTTATTTGGTAAAATATAAAGTCTTAATGTATATTTTGTAATTTGCTTAATTTTACTATATTTTTCACTCCTATCGTGTTTTTGTATTGATTGTTGTTGTAAGTGTGACCCACCCCTACTGGATATCTATGACTAGGAGCTTTATAGCTCAAATTCATCCAGGTGTAAATACATATTCTGATTAGCTGGCTGCGCCTTGTGGAGAAGGGTTTAATAGGTCGCACATTATTTGTGTCAAACCCAAAACGAAACGGTAAAAGCAAAAAACATTCGCACAAATTGCTAGTGTGACTAAGAGTGGGTGGGTGTTCAGGTGGCAAAGGGAGCAGTGTCTGTTGTAAGTGGTACGAAGAAACAATGGAACAAGTGGCCGAAACATTATTACGCATTTAAACCAATTTTTACTTTCGATTTACGAAACAAACTCGCACGAGTACCTGCGCTTCGGTGGGTCCTTCATGAGAAAACACACCGAGTGAAAACAACCTGGGATACTGCAAATACAAAAAGGAGGAGACAAACTCATTTATAGTGTGTTCACTGCCACAGAGGAAAAACACAGCCATCAAATGTTCAAAAACAACCTTGGGATTTATTTTAAAAGGAGCACTAAGAAAAGTTCCTCACATTATGGCCACAATTACACAAAATCTGAAGGAGCAAGGGCTCTCTCGCCCCCTTCACAGAATGAATTAAAAAATGACATTACAAAAAAGAGCAGCGTATATGGTACTGTACACAGAGCCACTAACATTAGGGCCAGAAAAAAACTAAGACCCTGGCAATTCTATGCACCGTATAGGCAAAGGTGCCAGATTCTCTTCTTTTAAAAATCAAATTGAGTTCCTCTTCTGAACTTGGCAAATTATATACAAAATGACAATTTATTTTTCCAATCCAAGTAACAAATACAAAAAAAAAAATCACACATTCCCATTGCATTTGGATGCAAGGAAGAATAACCAATATATTATTAGAGTCATCGTTATATCATCCATGGTCTCATTCACATCTGTGCATGTGGATCAAGGTGAGCAGTCATATGATGTGCCTAGGGATTGTGTGATGTTCTGTTTGTATCTTTTGAAGTGCGTTTCTCCTGTACCCTTTTCAAATTTCTCCCTTTTGTTCCATTCGCATACATTTTCATCACCATTGTAGTCTACTGTACGGATTTGCCCACTCCCTCTCCTCGATGACATGCACATGTCGTTGGGTCACGAATTGGATTTGTGTCATTTCAGCATTTAAAAAGGACACCAACTACTGAAGCGCCACAAACGTGCAAAAAAGACAGTTGGTATAATTGCGTAACGTTGAACTTCTTCCGCACCGTACCTAGCCGAGGTGCGAGATGTGCAACCCATTTTCAACATTCACAAAAGCCAAGAGCAGAAGCATCATTATGGCGATGCATCTGAAAGTAGGACCACACACACACACACACACGAGACCCAAGGGGTCAGAACGTCACACCGCCGATAGAGCGGTACCTTTTCCAGCAACGAGCGGCCAAGTCGGAACTTTGCCAGGACGCCAAAGAAGAAACCGGCGACGATCGTGAGCAGGAGGCTGCTGAAGCCGGGCACGGTGGCGTATGCTGCGTACTGAACCTGCACGGAGCACAGGGGCGGTTGCTCGTCAGCAGCAAGCGGCATAAAAAAAAAAAAGCCATCGGGTCGCACACATTGCACGGAAAGTGCTTGCCACAAATTAATCATATTCTGACCATCTCGTCAAGGAACAAAACCGTCACATTTACTCTGGTCATTCTCGCACCGGTTTTTTTTTTGCTCGGTACTGAATAAAAACAGTCACTGCATCGTTCGGTTTCGGATGCGCTTCTGCAGCTGTCTGGAATGCTCTTCCTTCCGATATTAGGAAGCCATGGGAACCACACACTTAAACAAAAATATAGATTGAAAACTCACCTCTTTAAAACTAATTTGTATTTAGTTTGTCATCCTTCCCACACACCGATTAGCATGGTTGCAACGTACGGTGCAAAATAAATAAGATATAATACAATTATATGCCTTGTTATCCATCACTGACAGTTACAATAAAACACATTATCCAAAAGATGGCAGCAGCTTTGGGAGGCCTTCATGCAGTAGCAAATTGACCATGGCTGATGACGACGACGACCAGATTTGTACACGATACAATTGTCAAACGGTCGCCATATTTAAAGTTGCATCACCCGCACACACACACACATGAAATCTTGCAACTTGCAGAGGGTGCCATCACCACGTGAAAACCAAATCTCTGCTTCGGCAGCCAGGGGGCAGGCATGAAAACACACGAATGTGCGCCCATGCACGCGTGCGCGAGCGCTCTGCACGACCTCGCGAGCTCAACCCATCATCACTGCTCACTGGACTCTCGCCGAGCTCCTCATGCAGGTAGCGCTGGCTGCGTCTGACCACCGACGCGTCGGAGCCCGGGAATGGGAAGGCCCAGCGAGAGGAGTCTTTGCTGTAAAAGACTGCGCCCCTAAAGAAGGCGAGGTGTGTGGACAACACGCAAACTGGTGTTAGACAAACCAGGAGACCAACACTCGATTAAAACTAAAAACGCAACTGCATTATTTTTATTTTACCAAGTAAGGCCGACGGAGCCCTATAGCTCAGTTTCATAACAGACCTGGCCACAAATGATAGCTCAACAAAGTGGCTTATGCCGTGTAACTTTACGAGCAGCTAAATGCACTAAACGCATGTTTTTAAAATGTGCAGGGAAAAACCGGGGAGGAAAATGCACACGGACCACGGGGAAAACATGCAAACTCCAAATATACAGACATCATGGTCAGGATCGAACCCACAGCCTTCTGCATACCAGGCAAGGGAGGGAACGTCACTGATTTGGTTAAGCGGACAAACCATCCATGCTGTAAGGCCACTGGACTGGATTTGTTCAGATGTGAAAGTAAAAAAAAAAATCGGCTCCACTTACATTTTGAACAAATGGGCGTTTGTTCATAATGTGTAGAGGCGGCATAATAACCACATCTGGCATGAGCTATTATAGCCCTTCTTCAGAAGCGGCCCAGCCAAAAATGATGCTCAACTAAATGGCTCCTCGCATGAAAATGTACAGTAGCCAAATGCCCCAAACAGAGGGAAGAACCGGTGGACCCGGAGAAAAATTCGCATGGCCACAGGGAGAAAGATATCATGCGAACTACAAATATACAGCCAGGCGTCTGGATCGAACCTACGACCTACTGTATACCAGGCGAGGTAGTTAACATCTCTAGGCAAGACTCGTCAGAAACGAAAATCCAGTAAAACCTTGGAATGCGAGCGCAATTCGTTCTGGAAACGTGTTTGTAATCCAAAGCACTCGTGATCACGTGACGCTCGGCAGACAAAGCGTATATACGTACACTGCTCGTGTTGCAAGACCCTCGCTCGTTTATCAATTAAAATTTATTTAAAATTTTTGCTCATCTTGCAAAACACCCGCAGACCAAGTTACTCGCAATCCAAGGTTTTACTGTATGGGAATGTGGCGTTAGCCAACACCAACTTCAGCTGACAGGACACAAGTGGGTGGTGTAGCCAACACCATGCCCAGCCATATTTGCATCCCAGCAGCGATATTTTGCAAATCCTATCAGCTATGCATAAAAAGGCAAGAGCTGTCCTAGGGCAGCCCCAGGACAGTTTCTGGATACGACGTCATTCATATTAGCCGTGGCCAGGAATTGAAGTCATAAGAATAATACAAATAAATGACCCCAGGAGGCACAAGGAACCAGATAAGCAGGAACGTAGCAGCCAGGCAGCGATTCAGCACCTATAATTGCTCAAGCTCTGCGGTACTCTATATATTATGGTTTATTCTAATCAAAATGGACCATTTACATGCAAGAGGAAACTGCAGCTACATGCATGCCCCCCACGTGCACGAGGGGGCATGCATGTATAGTTCGCTACCACCCGTGGCCAAGCTCGGGAAATCTGATTAATGTGCCATCTCGCTACACCATTTATGGACTTGGCCACATATTTTCCAGCTGTAAGTATCAGCACAAGCCAATTCACCAACTCCTACCTCCAAACCAACCAGCCAGCACTAGTTTAACACGAAGGCCTTCACGACCATTGTCATCCATGGAGGTTTTTTGGGTTAGATAGTGTCAAAATATAAGCGTTGTTAAAACCCACCACCACACACGTTGTCACGTAAACACCAACGGTAATCCCTATTGAAGTATGCCGCCCTTTATTAGGCATGAATTTAATTAATGTATTATTTGATCAATTCGCTTTTACGCAGCATCAAGGCAGTAGCTATCAGAACGGTTACAATTATTTTTATCTCTTTCAATTTCGATAGATTATTTAATTAGTCTTGGCCAGAACTTCAACATTATCAAAAAATCAATTGAGTGTCCTTGTTGGCACACGTGTTTTCCTACTGCTGACAGTTGTATTTGGGAGAATTTAATATTTCTCTGATATTCTTTTAGTCTCGTGCTGATCATTCATTCTGTTTGCCCACATAACATTTTCCACACGTGCAGTTAATCCTGTACATACCTTCTGTTGATAGCTTCGGTAATACATCTTATGTACCAGATATTAATTTCCATATTTTATGTACCGTGCCAAATCTGACTCAGACGTTTTGTTTTTCCACACATCTGGCTAGTGTACGGTATTTTGATCGTTTTAATTACTTGTGCAGTAATTAAAAGGCAGCATACTTCAATAGGGATTACCGTTGGTACGGCTATTTTAAGACACAAAATAGACAGGAAGGACAAGTTCAAAGGGCTCGCATAATGTGTGTCGACTCAGTAATCCCCCCCCCCCCCCCACTTTGCGCAAGAGCGTGGTCACCACATCTACGCCTCTATATAAAGGAACCAAACAGTAAGACTTCTACACAAAACTAGCTGCCCCCTGATGAAGCTAGTTGTAATTACTGGCAAAACGTCGTACTCAGATTGTGAATGTTGTGGCTTGACTCTCGAAAAAACACACCGGTTAGTGCTGTACTAGTGACGAATTGGCACATTCTGTTTACGTGACAACCCTTACTAGTTGGCCGTGTCAGGTTTTAGTGACATTTATATATTTATGCGATCCAACCCAAAAAAGCCCTTATGGCAGCCATTACTAAAAATGGCGCTCCACCCAGCCCCATGTCCTTCAGGGCTTAGCCTGGGCCCACGTTCACATTTGTGATCGCCGTTCAGCTTCAGGGAGGTCAGATCATTTTACAGGACAACCCCTCTTTTACCTCTTTGGCAGTTTCCTGCCGACTACCGGCAGAGGCTGCTGGTTCATCTGCTTGCGAAGTTTGCGGAGTTTGTCTTGGTCGGCAAAGCCGTAGATGGCAGACTGCCACGTGGCATAGTGACCAGCACCACCCTACAAAAGACAAAGTGCACACAGTGGAGTAATTTGTTTCCAAGACCAACCGGGGGGGGGGGGGGGGGGTTAAAAAAATGAAAGTGGGGATTTTTTTTATAAACGTATACAAAGGATGCGGACAAACAATACAATGTAAAATAAACAGTAACTAAACAGTAATGGTCAAGCGAGCTCATGGAAGGATCTTGGCTAGTCCACGAGCAGGATTTCATTTGGCCGCACCCTGCCCAGGGCACCAATTCTAAACCGATTCTGGGCGCCTTATTAAACAATTTCTGCTGGTGAAAGATGAAGGGTGGTGTATTGGTTAATGGGAAGCTCATTTAGTATGGTCTACTATCAAATCTTTTTTTTACTACAATCATATAGCAAAGGCTTTGAAATTAATTAAAGCATTGAAAAAGTAGAATGAATTCTCAAATACAACCTTGGATTACTAAACAATAAAAAAAACACTTTTGGTAACAAACAAAATGCATTTCTTACCTGCGGACCAGTCTCAATAACAAGGTAACTTTCCACTCCTGACAGAGTGCCTGAAAGCAGACGGTACACAATGTTACATTCTTCCATGAGAACACCATGCCGAGTACAGCCACTATAAAAATGGAACTACAAATGGAAGCAATGGCTCTTGTAAGCAGACTGAGCATGCTGCGGTGGCCTAGGGAGCAATAGCCTGGCCTGCCACCGCTGCACACGGCAAGGGCGCATGTTTAATGCTAATTTAAAACGAAACCAAAAAACTGTTTTATTTTAACAGGTAAGGCCCACCGAGCTATATAGCTTTTTTCAGAAGCAACCTGGCTATCACAAATGATAGCCCCATGAAGTGGCTTATTGCATGAACATTTTGAGCAACCAAAGGACTTTGAAATGCATTTTAATCTTTAAAAATGATAAAATAAACTGGAGGACCCGGAGAAAAATCCACACGACACGCAACACTCCAAAATCTACCAGGCGTCAGGGTCGGGATCGAACCCACGACCTCATGTATGCGAGGTAGTTAACATCTCACCACCGCAGCGCCCATGTATATCATGTGCAGCGCTGCAATTCCCTACTCTGTCACTGGTGGTGGAAGGGTCTCCACTTGTGGAAGCTCTAGAGCCCTTAAAGGACATTTTGGCAAACTTTTCCATGCTCGCCAGGTAGCTTGGAGGCAGCGGGAATACCCACACTTAAGCCCACCAAACAGAACCTGCCGTTCAAACTAACTCTGGTGTGTCCATCTGTACTGCCCGGTGGAGCGGTGTGGGTAGGTAGACTGAGAAACTTGCTTCAAACTGGGAGATCAAAGCAGGCGACCTCTGGATGGCAAATCCACGGCATAGGGTCGCCCCACTTATCAAAAAGCTAACCTCCAAAGTCCCAGGGTTCTTTAAATTTAACCATTTTATTTTACCAGGTAAGGCCCTCAGAGCTACAGCTATTTCCCCCCCCCCCCCCCCGAAGCAACCTGGCCACCAATGATAGCTCAAGTGGCTTGTGGAAATTTACAGCAACCAAAAATTATTCTAAAAACGCACGTTTATAAAAGAAGTGAGAAACCAGAGGAGCCAGGGAGAAAAGCCGCATGACCACAAGGACAACATGAAAACTCTAAATATACAGCAGGCATCAAGGTCGGAAGCAAACCCACAATATCCTGCATACTAGGAGAGCGAGATCACAGATTACCTGGGGTGCTGCGGTGGCAATGTACATTATAAAAGTTACAACTTATAAATAAAAGGGGGGGGGGGGGGGGGGTCGCAGTTTGACAGAATCACTACTACGCTGCTGTCAAAGCTAAGACCATGTACTTCAGGAAATGCTGATGGTATATTGTACTGTATATGCACAATGTCAGTGTGCTCTTCATACATTTGGCATCTAGTTTGAAGCTTTACAATTTCAGCCTGCACTATTATTGTTTTGGATGGGTTTTGCGCATCACTTACAGATTTGATTTATGCTGCACAAAGCAAATTTAGGTGTGATATAATGGCCCTGAATGTATGCAGAAATAAGCCCCATCAGTACACAATGTTCTGCTCTTGCTAACAGGGTTCCTGGGTTTATTTCAATGTTTAAAGCTTGGCATACGTGTTTGCTGGTCAGAACGCCCTTACAAGAGGGTTGGAAAATACAAACGTTAGTTTAAAACCATTTAATTTTAAAAGTCATGGTCAAAACACTTGATAATTAGAGTATTAAAAACAGGCAGCACGATATTGTGTTCCGAATTATATATGGAGGGGAATACATGGTTACAGATAGACAAAACTACATTTACGTGACAAAAAACACGTGTTCCAAAATTGATGGCAGCTGTTTGTAGACACGGCCCAACATTAAAAAACCCATTGGAGAGAATCGCAGCACAAATCCCAAAGTTTGCTTTAAGGAGGGAAAAAAGGTCACCTTATAATCCAGAGAATAAGGTAAGAGCATCATGGGACAGGGAATTTTTTTAAAGGACATTTCACCACGATCGGACCATAATTTTCCAGCAGAAAGCAGTACTTTCCATTATTTAACCATAATATTAATAGGGTTTTTCCCCTATTTAATGGCAACAAAACTGAAACCTTTTTTACAAGGATTCATGTCTGCATTAACCACATTACCTGCAGTCAAAATGCAAACAAAAAAAACACTATGATAATATATGCATTGTCCTTGAAACTGATTGGTCCACACCAAGGGACGGCTTTCTTTTGAGCCTCGACCCAATTGGTGCGCCACCAGATGACGCCTTGGCATCATCTGGCAAGGGAGGTCTAATGACATAATTCTATACTTCCAGCATTTACAGCAGCTTGATACGGGGGGGGGGGGGGGGGGTGGAGGAGCAGTGCAGCGGTGAGCACAATGTGCAATTAACCCCCCCTCCCCCGCCGTGGACACAAGTTTGATGCACGGGCACCGCTAACACCAGCGCAGTATGATTACCGATCCGCTGCTGCATCACCTCTCTCGCCAACCCACACTCAACAACGTAGCAAGGTATCGGAAAAAAAAAATCACCCCCAGACATTAAAAAAAATAAAAATAAAAAATGTTTACTTTTCCCATTCACGTGAAAAAAAACACGTAGGTCACCGGAATGAGAAAAGGTTAAAATTAATCCGGAAGAAAAAACTGAAATAACCTAACTGTTGGTATGGAGGCTCCCACAAGGCCATGCGGGAGGGGCTTGTGGCAGTTTGGTGCTAGCTATCACAGAGTGCAGTCGTGTCGCTATGGTAGTATTTAGAGTACAAGGCTTAAAAAAAAAACTGCTATACCTCGAAATAAAATAAGTGCCGAACCACTTTCGCGTTCCGAGATTCAGTAGTTAACAGGACCCACCCGGTCTTGGAATGGGGTAATGGTCATTTCTCCAACCGATCTCACGAAGTAGCACCTCCGATTAGCACAGTTGGCTATGTACTGTGCGAAAGAAGTTCAACATACAGCAGGTCCAAATCATGCCAGACTGGTCAAAAGGGTAGAGGACACACGAAATGGACAACCCCTGGTCCTTCAAGTTGGGCATGGGGCTAATAACCCAACCTCGGAAAACAAGCATTGTTATGCAAACTGCAAATAAACATTCAATATCAGACCATCAGGAGGCACCTACCCACAAAACTGGCAGGATGACCCTCTTCAAATCACAGCCCTCAGCAGGACGTTGTAAAGGTAAAAAAGTGGGCCTTCCTGGATCCAAAGCACAACATGAAGGTTGGAGCCTGGAACGTATCAGATGTCCAAGACGGCAAAAGTTGTCCACGAGATGCAACGCTACCAACTGAAGACCATGGTCCTGTCTTGGGGTGACGCAGAGAAAGCTGCTAAAGACCATCCCGGCATGGCGTGGCTTTTTTCCCCAGCCTTATGGTCCACTGGGAGCCAAGAAGAGAAAGTAAGCATTCTCCAGGAGAGCTAGGGATGGCACCTCCAACACCTACAGGGAGGGCGTTTCACAACATTTGTGTAATCCACCAAGAATCGCCTCCAGTGCTGGATTAAGCACGCACCACCAACGCCCAGCTTATTATTTAAATTACCTTTTGAAAAGTAAAAGAGCATCATTTAGACAAAGTCGGTGGGGTATACACCAAATGTGTTTGTGCGTGCATCTGCAATACCTGGGAACTGGTGGCGTGTGTAGAGCACACCGAGGTCCGCTGGGATGGAGTCGAATCCGCAGCTTCCAACGATGTAAACGGAATTCTCCTCCGCAGCCTTGCTGTACTTGAGCTGCATCTCCTCCAGGAACTGCAACGCAAAAGCAAAAAAACAAAAAAAAACACGAGTGTCAGGCCTTGGCAACACGAGGCCACTTTGCAAGGGCTCAGTAGATTTAAACATCACTCCAAGAGACCAGGAGGCAGGGTTACAGGCCATTTTCACTGGGTCATGAATTTTGATTTTGGGCAACATTGCTAGAGGACGCGTGTACGGTTCAATGACAATTAGTTTCCTTCTCTGGCTGCTGTGGACAATATAAAAAAGGGGCAGTGGAGTCCTATTGTAATTTTAACATCTTGTGTTAGCAGGTACAACTTGAGTAAATTACACCTGGTTACTGGAGTGTATCGAGTCGAACAACCTCTAGGGACACAGCAACCTTGAAGCGGACGAAGAGCAATATTTGACAGTGTCACGTTTATTCATTTAACAAGGCAAGAACTCCAGGAAACCAGGATTTGCGAGTCACCTGGATTAAAAAGGACAAAGGCAAAAAAATCAAGTACAGCCCATGAAGCAAATAGAAAGCAGGGCAAAAACAACTGCACGCACAAACATTACCATGTGTGCGCGTGCATACTTGCGGTTCACCACAGAGGTCCACACAACTGCAGCCATTCTCCACGCACGCCTTCACCACTGGCTCGCCATAAAACCTATACTGAAAAGAAGAATCCAAATAGAATTGTATTAAAATTGCAGAAATATTCAGACACTTAGTATACTAGGGTTGTGGAACCAAGTGTGGAGACCAGTGCAGCAAGAATCTAGGTCACTTCCACATCTATGCTACCTGCTCCAACAACCCAGAATAGCTAGCCCGATGTACGGTCAAATAATTCCCACGATGCGGGATGGCCCTCAAGCATCAGTGGAATTACAAAAAGGCCTGCATATGTACGCTATACAGAACTACTGGTCCCCACAAAAATGTCAATGTGGAATTTCCTCCACATGCTCCGTGTGGTCAAGTCATGCCGTAACTTTCCTTTTTTTTAACAATACCATTTAATATTCCCCCAAAACAAATTAGAGTAATTGTCTTCATTTTAAAATGAAAGTAGCACGCATGCATAAAACAACAAATACTTATTGTGGATAGACTGCTGCTCTTGGAGTGGGTACACAAAGCATCCCTGTCATCAACATTGCTTAGACAGGCCAGAATGTTCCCACCACAGAATGCAATATAGGGTTCACGCTCCGCCTTCATCAGTGTCCCATTGTCGAAACGAATCCAAAATGTATCTTGGCTCCTGTGCCACCACACCAGAGACGACAGAGCTCTCATTCCCAGCTGTACTGCGTGAATTTTTCCGCGTTACATTTTCAGTTGTGAGGACACTGGTCACTCGTGTCCAAGCATGATCGGACAAACCCAGGATGCAAGCAGTGTAATCAAACGGTGCCACCGTTCCCAGTACACAAGATTAGCAAATTATGGCTTCCAAAAATGTTTGTAAACTGTATAGCACTGTGCCTTGGACCAAAAAAAAATCACATGGAATGTGCCAAATAACATCAGATCGAAGGCCAAGCAGGTTTGAGACTTGATAGTGCTTGGAAGGTTGACCACAATGCATAAATAGGTCGCTGCTTGGACACATTGTCAGTAGATGGCAGTATGGCAAAATCCCTTTTACTGCATTATGCTCATCTGTTTATGCTGCTTGTTTAACCCACGTTGAATAATGTTCTAGTCAATCCTCATGGACACAAAGAATGGACAGACCCATTGAGAAAAAGGGCCGTATATGTACATATCGCTTTACATTTGGTATTGTCCCTCTTTGGAATTAAGACTAGCCTCATGAGTGCTACACCCAAACCAAGCCTACGCAATACACCCAGGTGCGATTCAGCTTTGCACAAAGGTCACCCACGCTATCGGTGGACACTATATTAGTACCACAATTTATGGCTGCAGATGCTGCACAAATTCTGTGGGAGAGAAATTGAAAACACGTACACGACGATTTCGCTAGTTTAACGCCGCTCGAAGACTGCACACCGAAGGCAAAATATAATGTGCCAGGTAATTCTCCTTTAAAAAAAAAACGTCCTGACAATGTTTATGCAGGATACTGTACGCTGCATGTATGACATTCGTGAGTCTGAATATATACATGGAATGCGTTAAATTGTAATTCATGTTGAGAAGAGATTAAATTACTGTATATTCTTGGGTCTTTCGGTAAAGTCATGTAGATAGGTTCAAAGAAAATGGCAAAAACTACGACGTTTCGATCGCAACAAGCAAGCGTCATCAGGAGAAAAAAATAGCGGGAAAGCTGCTGAGGCAGGATGTTTTAAAGGTTTGAAATGGGTGTAGCCCTAGGGTCATAAGCGAAGTGGGCGGGGCTAGTGACGTCAAAGTGAGAAATTTGCATGTCAATGTAAGATCGCAGAGCCACCGCCACAGAGGAAAACGAGCAATGGTGGCTGTGTTAGTGAGACATTTAACCTGTTAATGTAAAACCAGCCAAAAATTTCTAACATCGGAAGGTAGGACGGAAACAGCCAATTATGACTTAAACTGGTTTATAACAATCTTGATTTGAAGCTTTCGCGACGGCAGGAATCCATATGCTTTGGTTCTTTCGGTAAAGTCACGTAGTTAGTTGTATTTTATTTCTAACTACGTGACTTTACCCAAAGAACCAAAGAGTGGTTAATAACATCCTTACAATGACTGCTCAGTTTGTACCCATCTTCTCGGTTGAAATTGTGTCCGTGTCAATATATATGGATGGCTTCATGAACGAATCTTTGTTGATTGCCAGTGGGTTTGTAAAATACATCCCATGGACACTGTCTATAGGAAAGCCACCCATATGGATGCCTACACAACTCCCACCACCATCCACCCCAGAAGAATTCCCTCATCAACTACACCATAGAGCTCTATTTCCAACCGTCATCACCTAGCCAGTGAACTGTTTGATTTAACACAGTATATAAAATTCGTGATCTGATCCCATCTGTGAAGGATGTTGATCCCTGACATGCAACACCCCAGGATCCACAAACTAAGCTGTGTCTGCAGCAGTAGTTACATTGGGGAAACTAAGCGACATGTCTTGGACCGTGTTCGTGAACATAACGCAGATCTGAAACGCGGTAGGACCAATACCTCGGCCATGGCTGATCATTGTTTTAATGCGGTGGGCTCGCACAAAATGTATTTCTCTAAGACGAAGGTACTTTGCAAGCCCACTGGCAATCAAAGATTCATTCATGAAGCCATCCATATATAGACACCCGATTTCAACCGAGAAGATGGGTACAAACTGAGCAATCATTGGAAGGATGTTATTAACCAGTTCCGATGTTAGTAGTTATTTTCGACTCTGGCTTTACATTAACAGGTTAAACGTCTCACTAACACAGCCACCGTTGCTCGTTTTCCTCAATGTTGCGGTGGCTCTGCGATCTTACATTGACATGCAAATTTCTCACTTTAACATCACTAGCCCCGCCCACTTCGCTTATGACCCTTGGGCTACACCCAGTTCAAACCTTTAAAACATCCTACCTCAGCAGCGTTCCTGCTATTTTTTTCTCCTGATGACGATTGTTTGTGTTGCAATCAAAACGTTTTAGTTTAGTTATTTTCTTTGAACCCATGCAACTTTACCGAAAAACCCAAGAATATGAATTCCTGCAGTCACGAAAGCTTTAAGAGCTTAAACTGTCCATAATTAGGTTGGGATTATAAAAAAGGAATATAACTGCACTTTTAAAATTACTATTGACATAATAGCCTATTAAAATATACCACAGATCTTCTTGAAGAGGGAAAATTGAGTGCTACAACAATAAACATGGTGATGCCACAGGGCATCATGGTCTGGCAATCCTGAGGTTGTGATATTGATTCCATCCGATAATGGAGAGTTAAAAATCTACGAGCGTTCGCAACTCAGCATATTTTTTTCAAAGACCGATACATCTTGGGCATATAAAAACGAAGTAATTTCTATCACTTTCCACCACCTTTCTACATAACGCCCAAGGATGGCCAGTGGCTCATTGGTTCAGTCCTGGCTGACCCAGCTGCACCGTGGCTTGTTAGCACTGCCGGTTCCGTTTGATTCGTTCCAGTCTGTACCAGTGTTACCCAACCCCACCCATGTTTTGCCCATCCTGATACCACCACCACCCCCACCCCTCCCACTGCCCTTCAGCCCCAATGGAGTTGTTTCACATTTGTACAGCACCTTTGAGATCAAGTTGGATCGAGGCATTAGGCGCATTGAAAAAAAGGCCGTTGCAGGAAGACGGGGTTATCAAATCTGCACTTTCACCCATGTTCCTTTGCAGATTAAATGGTTGTGTAAAGTACATACCGGTCCAACGCAGTTAAGGACAACCTTGGCATTCTGGCACATAGTAGCCAGAGACTCCTCATCTCCCACATCACATATGAGAAGACCAACACTGTTCTTTGCGTGTGGTTGTCCTGAAAAAGATTAACTCGTCATTAAAATCGTTGACAAACACTGCACAACTAAATAACAAAGTTAAATATCTGACCACGGAAAGCAAAGTTAGTTCGCATAAATACTGTACCTCATCTGAATTTGCACACTTGATAAGCTAGGTAAAAGTTCAAATGAGACAAGTCTCTTGTGCAAGAGACTGGAGATAAAAAAGTCTGTATGGTAACGTTAGTGCAATGTAAATAAACAATACAGAAACGATAATTTGCACAAATGCAGTATGCAAACGCGACTTTTTACCAAGTTACCAATTGCATAGCTATGAAATAAGCTCACTTTCAAGCTGCGGTGCTGATACATGGCTGTATTCAAATTGCTGAGGCGCAATTTCATTTTATGTATTTTTTATATAACATTTTAATACCATGGACAAATATTTATAATTAGATTGCAGCCTGCGATACTAAGCCTCCATGGTTACTGGCATTTTATTAAAAAACTAGAACGGTAACTTTACATAACAGAGTCATCAGAATGTTGTAAATTTACTGCTGCAACTTTACCATTGGCCCAAATGAGAGCAGCAAAGTGGAAGTTTAACTTCAGGAGTGGCATGTCAGTACACCATATTTTATAGCAAAAAAAATACAAACGTATGTATAGTTTGTTAAACTTCCTCCACACTCTACGCAGCCAACCGTGGCCAAATCAGAGGTGCGGATTCTTTTTAGTGTGCAGGAGATGCAACCAGGGCCGGATTAAGATGTTGTAGGCCCCTGGGCTACAGGTACTGTGGAGGCCCCCAGTAATATTTTCAAAAGGAAAACAAAGTTCAAGAAAAATAAAATTTATCCACAAATGAAAACTTAATATCTGGAGGTCCTCCAGCTGGAAGAGGCCCCTGGGCTGCAGCCTCTGAAGCCCATGCCTTAATCCAGCCCTGGATGCAACCTTTAATAAAGCCCAGTAAAGAGATCACGTTTCAGTAAAGCAGCGTTTTGAAGTATAATAAAGCAAAAACACGACCCGAAAAAAAGGCACAGCAAGGCCCCAAGCCAGCAGTGGAGTGACAAAGCCGCCGTACATGCATACAAGTCAAAGTACAAACATTAACAGGTGCGATCGTTTTAGCATCACGTGCCACCCCACTGGCTCCTCCAGTGAATGAGGGAGGATTATTCGACTAAATCGGATCGCATTAACAGTTGGATTAAAAAAGCCAAGCTCTGTTCGAACGTGTGACGGGGGCGGGGCTTGGAGAAGAGCTTTAGAGCTCATCGGATTTCCTCCAGTATAAATAAATATTCGGATTCTGACTTTAGGGGCATCACGCCCAAGGATGCTTGTCAGGGGTTGGGGGTGTGGTGGTTCTCGGCTTTCGAAGAGGCAACACGTGGCGGCAGTAGCCATTTTTAAAAGGAACGCGAGAAATTGATCACAAGGTAGTCGATTACAATTTGTAATCTTGCCAACAAATCTAAACAGTATATTAAAAAAGCACGTCAAGAAAACGCGCAAGCATAACAGAGTACTAAAAAAAACGACACGTTCGTGTCCCGTTGCATACTTTAAAAGTTGCACCTCCGATTAGCACCGCTGGCTACGAAGATCAATACGCATGCATAACCATGCGGTCAAGTGTGGCATTATAGCAACTCCAGTAACATCACCGCGTCGCATGCAATGTGTTGATGTCAACTCGCTGCTGTAGATACGTTAAACAATGGTTGTCAATGTTGGCGTTATATATATTTTTTTTTTGGGGGGGGGGAAGTTGGCCAGCGAGTATCATTTGGCAAATACATTTTAAGAAATGCACATCGCTGGCAATTCGAATGCGTTGTATATCCTGCGCAAAAATTGCGTGGGGCAGTGTTAGTTCACGACTTCGTCGCAGATGTTTTGTGTGGGGGGGGGGGGGTCACGGCACTTTAAAACACTCGAAAACAAACCACCAACAAAATACACGCGATATTGCTATTAACCGGGTTGCACACATTCTACACACTTCATCGGTCAGTATTATCCACTGCTGGATGAAGACTTTCATCTCACATTAAAAAAAAAAACCATGTTTTATTTCCCCAGGTTAGGCCCATCGAGCTACGAAAAACTCTGTTTTCGTTCAGAAGCGGCCTGGCCCACAAACACAATTGCTCAACGAAGTGGCGCGTATCGCGTCCTGTGGAAACATTTATGGCAACCAAAAGTATCCCAAAGAACGCCGATTACAAACCGGAGGACCTGGAGAAAAATCCACGCGACCACGGGGAAGGAGAGACACGCGCGAACTTTAAATATACATCAGCAGCAGGCGTCGGGCGAACCAACAACCTCCTGTAGTCTTCGCGAGGTAGTTAACATTTCGACTACCAGGATCCAAAAATAATCGTTAACATTCCTCAATCGTGCAATGCCAGTTCCTTCCATACGCTATAAAGCCTTAAAAGAATGCTAAAAAAAAACCGTAACGTTGGACTGGATACAAATTACATTGCAATGTCACTCACTGCGTACGACATTGCCGTGCAAAGCAAGGCCTCACCCAGCCCTACGGCCTCGCCTGACGAAACCGGCCGATTGGGGCAGCACGAACCCCGCCGAGGGAGGCAACAACAACAACACACCCACGCCCTCACCTATAGTGACGCAGACTCTCTCCAACAGATCCTTGAGCTTCTCCCCGTTGCGGCCAGCCACGGCCCAAGTGAAATCGCCGTCGCGTTTCGCCGCGACTCGGCCGACCTCCTCCACCACGTACTGTCCCGTGAAGCCCGTGGCACCGAACACCACCAAATCGTAGCGAGGGGAACGCAGTCCGTCAGCCATGGCTTCCCAAGAGGACTTCGCTTAGTCTTCGTCTTCGCTTTCCCTCGCTCGCTCGCTCCCTTCGCCCTTTGTCCTTCTCTACACCCCCCTTTGCGTCGAAAGCCCCTGCGCGCTTCCAACCCAGCGACACACCTTTGGCTCAATTTAACTGCCTCCTTGCCCCCTACCCCCCACACAAGCAGACGCAGCAGCAGCCGGCGTTAATTACTGGGATTGAATGGGCGGGCGCTCTCTGTGCTGGGTGTGTGGGGGAGGAGCGGTGGTGCAGCGGTTAGCGCACTGCGGCCACGCCGAGTTCGATTCCCGCTCATGGTTTACCAACACCGGTGACGATTATCTGAACCGGTACTGGGCCTCCCTTAGGTCGACCCAGCCTCAAATTAATACCTGGTTGTAGCGGTTTGTAGCAAACATCGTCACTGGGGCAGACAAAGGCGGCCGGGCGTGGTGTTGCCTTCATTAGGTGCTACTCGCTAACAGCACTTGCCCCAACAGTCCGTTAAGGCTACACGGGGGATCTTTGTCTTTGTGGGGGTATGGGCATCACTGTCATGAACAGTGACCGAACGGACGTTTAGAAGTTCGCCAGATGTCGCTAGACCAGTGGTCATAATGAAAGGGGGATTTGTTGTTGTTTGGTGTTAGATCACGTAGCTATAAATGTGTCGTCGTTAAACCCGCCGCCACCCGACACAGCCAATTAGTAAGGTTTTGCACGCAAAACAAAACGTGCCAATTAGTTACTCGTTCAGCAACACCGCGCCTGCTCTCCAACACGCCGGTGTGCTGAAGTAGTCACTAATTGGCACGTTTTGTTTCCGTGACGAACCTTCCCAAATTGGCTGGTTTGGCTGGTGACCGCGTGATCATGGATAATATTGGTCGCGAAAGCCTACGTGTTAAGCGTCCTTCACTACTTTTCAGATTGGAGCCACACCATTTGAAACACTTTGGGCGGGGGGGGGGTTTGACAGCAGCACGAGGATGATGATGGGGGGGGGTATGTGTGTTTTCACTCTTTGTGTTATTGTCAGGGGCCGCACGTCAAAGGCCGCACTAAAGGCCACCAGGGACCGCAATTATAAACACTGCGCTAGACAGGCCTGCAAGTGTCTCCCTCCCCACTGGACATTAAACTTTTTTAAATTAATTTTACCAGGTAAGGCCCACTGAGCGATACATAGCTCTTTTTCAGAAGCGACCTGGCTATCACAAATGAAAGCTCAACGGAAGTGGCTTATCACGTGGAAATGTATAGCAGCCAAATACTCTAAACGCACGTTGTTTCGAAATGTGGAGAGGAAACCCGGATAGGCCGGAGAAAAATCTACGCGACCACGGGGAGGACATGCAAGCTCCAAATATACAGCAGCAGCAGCGGGCGTCAGGGTCGGGATCGAACCCACGACCTCCTGTGTACCAGGCGAGGTAGTTAACATCTCCTAGCCACCGTGGCAAGTTGTACATGTACAGCCACTTGTGTCAACCCACTGCTGCTGGGCGTGAGGGGTGTTTAACCATACTTCATCACGCTCGTCTCTCTAGATTTCTACCATTTCTGATCCCAGCTTTTGGCTAGACACCTGTGAAAACGAAGTCTTCATAGCTCATAGAGTTATTCCATGAGCGATGCGTATTCATTGTCCATGGTGGGCGAGGGTTTGCTGAAGTCGTGGAGCATTAGACGCGTAAGCATAGAAGTACACTACAACAGTTGGTTTTGATCCACTGCCTTCGACCGCCAACAACGTATCCTCGCAGCGTTTATCGGGTTTATATTATAAATGGTCAACTATTCTACAGTTAACTATTATACAAGTACCATGCAGTATTAGATCTAGCGATACTAGTGTATTGCGATGTTAACAACACGCATCTTCTCGACTTAAAGCTTTCGTGACTGCAGGAATTCATATTCTTTGGGTCTTTCGGTAAAGTCGCGTAGATAGGTTCAAAGACTTTGGGGCCGTCCATAAATGACGTCACGCGATTTATGACGATTTTTGACTCCCCCACCCCCTTCGTCACACGGCGTCACAAAAAGTCAGACCCCCCCCCCTCAAATATGACGTCACAAAGCTCTGCCCCGCCCCCCAAAAAGACCATGCTTTAAATCGCTTTAAACTATTGTCATTGTAGTGCGTAGTTAATGTGGCGCTGCACTCTGATGTTGTAGGAGAAAACATGTATTAAAAAAGTCTATTTAAGTACAACGTGTCGTCTATATTTATTTAAAGTTGCGAATTTTGATGTGACGTCACATTTCTCAAACCTCCCCCCCCCCTCGTCACACATCGTCACAAATGTCTGACCCCCCCACCCCCCCAGGTGCGTGACGTCATTTATGGACGGTCCCTTTACCGTAACTTTACCGAAAGACCCAAAGAATACGCACCTTCTCTCCAACCAGATTCCAACTCAACGAATCAACTCCATGGCGTTAATTAATTGAAAAATTAATTCACGCCGCTAGCAGAGGCCACACCTACCTACAGCAAGTACAATTCGAGGCAAAGCACCTGCTCAACGCCAATCAATATCAACTCGCGATGAGCAACAAGGGGCAGTCAATACATGACGTAACGCACCTAGGGGTGTGTGACGATGTGTAACGAGGGGAGGGGGGGTGGTTAAGAAATGTGACGTCACATGAAAATTCGCAAACTTTAAATAAATATAGACAACACGTTCTACTTTATTAAATAGCCTTTTTAATAAATGTTTCCTCCTGCAACATCAGAATGCAGCGCCACATTAAATACGCACTACAATGACAATAGTTTAAAGCGATTTGAAGCATGTTTGATACATTTTTTTGGGGGGGGGGGGAGAGCTTTGTGACGTCATATTTGAGGGGGGGGTCTGACTTTTTGTGACGTCGTGTGACGAAGGGGGGGGGGGTCAAAAATCTACCAAAATCGCGTGACGTCATTTATGTACGGCCCCTAAGACAAAGAGTACCCCCCGTGTAGCCCTTAACAGACTGTTGGGGCGAGTTGTGTTAGCGAGCACCTATGACGTCTGATAGCACGACCGCCTTTGTCTCCCAATGCTGATGTTTGCAAGCCGCCCCAGACGCAGTACACTACTCAAGGCCGAGTCGAGTCAACGCATTCTAAACAAACGCCACGTTCCCGATGTTTGCATAATTAATTAAGTCGCTTTCCAATGGCAAGCGACATAAATTGGGCAACAGCTAATTGGACTACTAACATACAATTAACCATTTTTATATTCCCATAAGTGTCCTGTTTTATTGGGAAAAATTATGGGACAAATAATACATGCGTCGTTCCACAAAAAATCTTTCCTACATGCGAATGCGATTTTTTTAAAAAAATATTTTGTAGAATTAAAACGTAGCACGCAATGTAAAAAGCTACGTCTCACGAACTCCATCCAATGTACTGTAGTTATATTCAGGACAATTCTGGGAAACGAACACGTTAATCACAGCACACCACCTCCAACACAAAAGATAATCCACCTCAGTAAATAACACATCCCGGTTAAAGATAAAACATTTCGGCATTGAAAAATACAGTCTACGTATTTGATTTAAACAGAGTAGCTATCGTTACAATGAGTTGGGTTTACCACCGGATTTTCAATGAAAAAATATTCTGTTTATTTCCTGCCCCTCCCCCCAAAAAACTGCTAAATTGACGAATCAGACCCTTGCACTTGAATGCCTTGTGTTTTACAGTAATTGTAAGTGTATCGTTGCAGTGAGCTGCACTGGGCAGGTTATTTTGAGCTGCCGGCAATGATGCCCACTGGAAGTGTTCTGATCACGGGAGGGAGTCGAGGGACAAAGAGATACTGAAATGGGTGGCCAATGTTATTCTAAAGGCTCTGTCAACCAAGTTTCACAATTTATAATACGGTAGTGTCAGGATTACCACACGCTGAGTCAATAAGTTGACAATTATTGTCTACAATTAGGACGTTCGCTGCATAAAGTGCCCTAATTTATCTATACTGTGTCACCTTTTTTATATTGATATCAATGTTCAATATCGTGTAGAGAACAATTGTATGAAGATGTGCAATTTTACGGTGGTGATGACGATGACGAGATTGGAAATGCGTTAACCCTGATCAGGATTTGAACTTAACGCTCCAACTTCAATGTGCAGCGCTGATTCGCTCGGCTGACCCGAGCCCCCTACCATCATCTCTACATTTACCACATTGCAGCTTGATGTAACAAAAGGACAATGAAACATTGCAGCTTGTGCGAGCGTGTCTTTTTTTATTGAATGTATGTCAGCCTTTTTTTGTTGTTATTGGGGTTCGTCTTTGTTTTCGGGAGGACTTCTCCTGGACCTGAGAGTGTAGAGATAAGAGGGCCCCCATTATATATTTTTTTTTATTTCCAGCACCCCCCCCCAACACACACACACACCCCCAACTCTCGTTCGGTTGCCGTGACAACGTCAAACACGCGCGTGCGCGTCCGTGTCCACGTGTCACGCGCCTCACGGGTCCAGCGTTGGCAGAACAGAGATTTTCACCTCCAGATACAGAGCGATGGGAGTTTGTTGGCACATTGGGTTTTTAAGCAGCGCCACAACTATGAATCTAAGGCGACCTGAGTTCGATTCCCTTGCCACGGCTAACATCGGTGGCAAGTAATGATATTATATTATAGGGTTGCCGCCCGTTCGGGGTTGACGAGAATTGGCACCTGCGTGTGTGCAGGAATTGATTTGTACAGAGAACTCGTACCGTTGTTGCGTTAAGATATATACTGCATGGTTTTGATAGGCCTAGTTCTGGCTGAGAAATGTCGAGTGTTTGGTTTCACAGTGGGAATAGGTGTCAACCTTGCGTACTGACCAGCGAGGTGACGTACGGTCAAACATAATCTTTAACGGACACGGGGCAGGGAGGGCCTTTATCCAGCAGTGGATTGACAAATCATTTTAAATAGTTTATTATTATAATACCAGTGTTGTTGTTTTTTTTAACCTCCAGATCTAGCGTATGGTCAACTCTTGGGAAAATGGGAGAAGGGTGATTGAAATAAAATTAAAACAACACGGATATTGCGCAACATATGCGACCTATGATATTAAAATGTGAACCCGCGCAAGAAAATGTTTGTTTTTTACTCTTTGTTTTTTTCGGTAAAGTCACGTAGGTAAAATAAAATTAATGAAAACAAAAAAATTAAATCAGCAATTTTGCTGTAACGGTTTCCACCTGAAGACGGAAGCTTGTGTTGCCTCCGAAACGTCGT